CTAAGAAATTTTCTAACTTGTACAATGTAATAATTTGACTTTTGTTACCAAAACATCCTTGGGATTATGGGTAGAATCAAAGTGTCTCTCTTTAATAGAAAAAGATAAGATCTTATGTCCTCTTAAGAAGAAAATCAGCATTTCCTATTTTCCAAGTAATTATTATTTGACTAGCCATAGACCCACAAGTAGTTGTGGTTTGCAGCCCAGCCTGTTCTGTACTAGGATAGAGCTAAGCACAATCTAAGTTAAAATATCAGTCATGTTGAATGGAGAAAAAGAAGTCAAGATTTATGATTTATCTGAATGTCTGCCTGTGAACACTGCTGATAGTGGATAATGTTTATGGGCAGACACATTCATATGCTCTTATTCAATCCTGCTTAAGCACAGGTTATTTTGGACAAGGTTATGATTCATTGCCTTAGACCAATTAGTGCCCCATGTATTATCTTTTGACAAAAGTGCTATGTCATTCCTCATGTATTTGGGCTCCCATTGGAAGCATTTGAAAGTGAATGACTCTCCAGAAATATTTAATCAAGCTTGAATTTACCAGGACAACTACAGATATAACAGGTTTCCTTCTAGCACAGGATGCCACTGTATGCAAATTTTCCTCCTGTATTGAGGTGGAGAAGTGCTGCCCAACTCCTGCTTCTGATCATGAAAGTCTTTACCCTGTTAATAAAAATTATCACTTTTCTCATTCCAGTTTCACCCAGAGCAAACAGACAGAAAAATAACAAAACCAGAATTTACAATACAAAAATCACACTGCAATTTTTTTGCACAGAAGTAATTGCCAGATTCTGATTAGATACAGCCTGTACCCTTTTGGAGGAATGAATATACACCCTCAGCCTCAAAGAACAGTTACAGAAGGGAATGACAGTATTTGCCTGCCTGCAATGCCTCCTCATTTTTATTAGATCTGAACAATGCTGTCATAATGGAAAAGAAGATCCAGTGAACAACAGCTCTGTAAGGGTGCTGTATGAGGAGACATGTATGAGGAGTTCAAAGACTATGATTTAACTGACTCACAGAAGTAGAATAAACAGATCAGGATGATTTTCCAAATTCTGGAACAGGAAGACCTGCAGTGTCTAGAGTGACAAGCGTTTTCTGGGCCATGGTATCACACTACCAACAGTTTACCTGCAAGATTTTTAGTTTTGTGTTCAACCTCACAGTGTGGTGCCACAAACAATTTTTCAGCAGTGCTGACGGTCTGTTTTCACCCTCATGCCACAGTACAGGGTAGAAGAATGAAAAAGAGAATAGAGTATTTGAAGACAGTTTTTTCACTGAACACTTAATGCCATGAAAACACATCTTGGGTACCTTTTCAGATATTCACATTAAACACATCGAAATAATGGAAAACACGAGTTCTTCTTAAAAATTCAGACCTTTAAATAATAGCTCAGAATAAACTGTCAAAGAAATTCCTAAAGGAAAAATATGCCACCCAAGAAGTATAAAGATTATTTGTTTTGGATTTTGGTCTGTCCTAAGCAAGAATTGTGTTCTAATTGCCTTTTCTGATGTACAGATATCAGTTTCTTCTTGTAGGCATTAAAAAACTCTGTAGAAATGTGGTGGGTTCCATAAATAAAACAAAGAAATTAAAACCTACAATACATTATTGGGAAGTCTCATCAGAGAGATTTTTAAAGTTGCAACTGAAGTCACTGCAGACAGCAGCTGAAGTTACTGCAAAATAAATTAATTGTTGAAACAGATGGCAGAAATTATATTCCTTTATATGTGGAAAAACATTGAGAATTATTTGTTACCTAGAAGCAAAGTGAGAACTATTTGTTACCTAAAAGCTGCGGATTTAAGCCAGTTTTCCAGTAACTTCATAATAAATAATATTTATACAAAGCATAGGATATCCTGTGTTTCTAAATTTATAGCTAGAAAAAAATTGGCAATACTGTCCAAATACATATATTTTACTTCAAAATTTAGCTGCAAGGTAATACTACTGGTTTAGATTCAGTTTAAAAGTTACTTTCAGGAATTCCAGCATATTGAATGGGGAGCACCATAAACCCCATTCCATTATCAGTGAAAAGCTCAACACAGTTTTATTAAGAATAGTGCTCTCAGTTTCCCTACTGTGAGTCATGAAGCCAAGTAGGCAATTATGCAAGACAGCTTATGGTAAATATAGAATAAAATAAAATTGATCATTTTGGTTACAAAAATCTCAGACCACTTTATAAAATGCTATGTTGTTTCTCCCATCAGCTTCAGTAAGTATTAAATATTGTCTGTATCTCAAAAAATAGGGCCTGTTTTGCTAAAAGTTATGTTGACAATTTTCATAGTCAGATTACTGTGTATTGCTAAAATTTATTAAAATTAAAGTGCAAGATACTAATAAGAATCTAGCAGAACAAAAGGAACAAGATGCTCAAGGACAAATTTCCTGTGTAGTGCAAATCAGAGGAGCTTCTAGATTTCAGAGACTTCATATTAATCCTTATCTGCTAAAGGCTTAATTCTTTAAGTACAGAGATGCAGACAACGCTTCAGTGAATTTATTTTTCTGCTGAAGGTCTACATACAGATTCCTGCTCATCTCACCCATTCCCACTTACAACAATCTAAATGTTCAGAACCTACCCAGAGTGATCAAGAGTAGGGAAAACAAAGTCATGTGTTGTCAAGGATCGGACACCTGGAACCTCTGGGAAAGGAATTTTTCTTTCCATGTTTTGTTGCAGCTGAAGCTGAAGCTGAAGCTGAAGATTTACCGATTGAGAGTATTTTTCCAGGCTTCAAGCAGGAGCTTGTCAGTTTTCCTGCAGAAAAGCAGCAGTTTGGCCATGGTCCCCTGGCAGCTGGAACATGGTCACTGCAGAGCACAAAAAAGGCCCCAGAAGCCAAAACGCTGTGCTCACTTCCCCACCACAATGAATTGCCCTCTGAAAGGTGCCAGATCCACAAAACTAGAAGTTCGGGTAGACAGAGGGCTAATAGAAAAGCATCTGGTCTTCCACGGCTTTTTCAAATGCATCTAGAGGGAGATGGTGCCCATGTGCATCACCAAAGGCTGGTTCTCACCAGTAAATCCTGTACAAGTATGGGCAACTGGCAGAAACAAGAAAAGTTTCATGTCTGAGGAAGTGTGGGACAGAGTAATGACGAGGATGGGCTGAACTGTTGAGAAATTAATGTATTTCAAAGTGTATATGTTTCAGACAGGAGGTCACTTCAGGAGGGCCTCAGGAGTAGTTTAACTAAGTAATTTCATTGGAGAGGGAGGAGAGAGAAAGCTAAAATTACCTGAAATATATGAGTAAGCATTTACATTTTGTCCTCTCAAACTAGCATCTGGAGGAATAAAAAAATCTAGCAAGAGTCTGAGAGAAGTGATTCCAAACTTTTAGGATAAATTCTGTCTAACACTTTAATTTTATTTGCAAACTGCCCTATGCCTTTTTATTATGAAGGTTTGTGGCAGGCAGTTTAAATGTTTCCAAGGACCAGAAGCAGACATCTTATTGCTGTCTTTCCTTACACAGTCTGTGAATGGCATAATTTTAATCTACTGTTGATTATCATTTAAAAATATTTTACTTTACAAAGAACTTATTGGACTACTTTCAATGGTCCTGAAATAAAACTGCAGTGATGGCTCAATAGTCTTGAATAATGGTTCATATGATAGTCTATCTCTACAAGGAAGTCTAGACATGTCTTCCTAAAACTCATCCTCCAAACCACCTCCAAGTTTGTAGTTGACATACTAGGAATTTTATTTGCTGTCTTTGGAGCTGAGCAGCAATTTTAATACTATTAGTTAAATTCTTAATAATTTCAAATAGAACTTCACTAAATTATTCTTTTAGAAATGTCTTGACTATCCACTAGATGAGACCGTCAGAGAAAGCTTTATCTCTCTTCTCCCTTCTTTGCTGAAAACTGACAATAATTATTAAGAGATAAAGTGTGATAAGCATCAAAATTTCTCTACAGTTTGTAGAAAAAGCCTAATTACTTAATTTGGTTATTATGAGGTTGATTTTAGAAGGGAAAAATGCATACATTTGAGAAAATGCAAAACCAAATATATCATTGAAGTTCAGCTGAAGGGTACCAGTGTCACACGAGGCAGAGGAGCTGGTATAGGACACTTTGCATTCTGCATCTAGTCACCTGGCATATGTCAGCATCTTCAAGGTTACTCCTCATCACATGAGAGGCATCAGTTTCCACTGAGCATGGGAGCTACTATTACAGCAGGCTTAAACCCAGAATGGTTATGCTCCCCCATTTGTAGCAGTATTTAAAGTATTTGTGCCTATCTCATAAGCTTTTTCTGGCCTAAAGGCTTTTGCTGTTTTACAGTGCAGGGTACGTTGTGTTCTGTGCTCTGGAATATCTCCTATCTGTACTTCACACACAATTGAGACATGAATCATTCCATAGCAAGTCAATTACTACATTACAGATTTTCCCTTGTCTGTAGTTTTCTTTCCCCCATGTTAGAATAGCTAAATCTTTGTCTCTACTTTTATTATAACTAAACTTTGCAGATACTTTGTCTTAGCTGCCTTGTGTATTTTGTATCAAACCAAGGTATAATAATAATAATAAAAATCCTTTTATCTTTTCTGAAAATTGATACTTCCTCTCCCCCTTGAAATATACAGCTTTTTAAGAGACTTCTGAACACATGATCTTGAAAGACTTTTGGCATACAATAACAGCATTTGAACTCTGAAACAAAATCACCTTATAATGTCATAAATTATTGAGTATTGACATTCGTATCACAAAGCCTTTTTCTGAAGCTCCAACAAGCAGGTCCCTATATCTTTTGAACTCATCGATTTTTTTGCTACCTAGTTATCATAATATATTATACAGTATTTTGGGACAATCACTGAAGCACAATAAACCACTCAATTTTCAAAAACCCCTTATTTTTACGTCATTAACTGAAAGGAATCAATGGGCTGCTTTCCAGTGGTGCTTACCACCAGGAGCACCCAGTTCCTCTGGACAGAGTGGAAAGACCTTGCATGGAAGTCAAAATACTTTCCCCATACTAATTTTAAAAGATCTGGAAAAGGCAAATATATTATATGCACATGCTTAGGTGTGTATATGTTTCTTTTGTATGATACCACTTATTTATAAGTGGTATACTATTATATATTATAATATTATCATTGATATAACTTAGGGAATTTCACATATGCAGACATCCTTGTAAGGCTGGTAATGGAATGAATGAGGAACACAAAAATGTCATCTGTGCTTCTGTGTTAGTGATTTACAACAAAGCACATCAGTGGTGTTCAGTGCAGTTTCCCTTCAGAGATAATAAAGGTTGAAGAAACACAGGGGGCCACCACTCAGGGCAACTCACATGAAGCATGAACTCAAGGTCCTCCAGCAGTCACCTGCCATGGATGCCACTGTGTGTGCCATGGGCCACAAACCTTACTGTCCTTCTGGGTACTACTGGAAGGCATTTAAATAATAATGTAATTATCAGGCCAATGTGGGTTCACAAAGAGAAAGTCCTTTTCAACTAATTTGATATCTGTCTCTAATAAGCTCACTCATCTAGTGGATGAATGGAAGGTGGTGAATGTGGTTTATCTTGATTTTTGTAAGGGCTTTGATACTGTCCTTCAAATTTTCTTTCCATACAAGTTGTCCAGCTATGGGATGAGAAGGTTCATAGTGTGCAGCACAAGGAACTGGCTGAAGAGCAGGGCTCAAGGAGCTGCAAAGAATGAGGCCACATCACAGTGCTGGTGACTGGTCACTAGCAGTGACAATCAGTTCTGTTCAGTGTGTTTATCAACAACCTGGATTCAGGATTGAATGCACTGTTGCAATTTTGCTGATGATACCAAACTGGGAGGTGCTGTAAACTCCCTTGAGGAGCAAGAACACTTACAGAGGATCTAGATAGACTGGATCATTGCACAATGTTAATTAGGATTAAATTTAGCAAGTCTAAATGCCTTATTCTGCACATAGGATTGGAAATGGCACACAGAGGTATGAATTTGGAGAAGACTGGCTGGAGATCAGGCCTACAGAAGGGATCTGGCAGTGCTGGTTGGCAATGGTTTCAGTAGGAGTCAGCAGGGAGCTTAGGCAGCCAGGTGGGCAAATCCCCTTCTGGGGTGCATCAAACACAGCATCACCAGTTGCTCCAAAACAGGTGATTATCCCACTGATCTCAGCACTGGTGGAACTCCACCTGGAGTATATGTGTAGTTCTGAGCTCTACAATTTAAGAAGGATGTGAAGGTCCTCTAATACGTCCAGTGGAGGACAACAAAGCTGATGAAAGGGCTGGAAAGCAAGTCCAATGAAGAGTGGATGAGGACTTTGGACAGGTTTAGTTTGGAGAAAATTAAGATGACAGATGATCTTATTTCTCTCCATAGCTTTCTGAGGAGGTAGAGAGGGACGTGCTGAGGTCTTCTTCCTGGGGCCCAGTGATAGGATGTGTGGGAAGAGCTCAAAGCTTCATCAGGTTAGGTTCTGACTAAGTACTAGGAAGCATTTCTTTACTGAGAGGTTCCAAACCATGGAACAGGCTTCCTAGAGAGGAGGTTGATGCCCCTAGCCTGTCAGTGTCTAAGAGGCATTTCGACAATGCCCTTAAAAATAGTGGTTAATATTTGATCAGGCCTGATATTTTTAGGCAGTTGGACTGGATGATCATTTAGGGCCCTTTCAACTCAAATATTCTGTTCTGGTCTATCATATATGATGTTCTGTTCTGTTCTGTTCTGTTCTGAAGATGCAATGCAGATATACAGTTCTGGAACCACAGTAGGTCTCAGCAAGACAAAACTCAGCTCTTCCACCTTGCATTGCACCACCTGCTGATAGAGATGTACCACAAGCATAAAAAAGAAAACTAAATTTAAAAAAAAAATCTGAAACTCATGGCCATAGATTTCTGACATACTTATTTGTGCATCCTCACAAAATACAGCCTCATGATCTGTAAATAGTGTGGTCATTCCAGGTTTATTCCCAGAAAACATTTATTTCACAACCCCATGCATATATGAGTGTAGAAAATAGGCAGGGATTCAATGTATTACTTACACAAATGTTGTAAATACCTAATCATTAAGTAAAGGTAGTCTCACAGTGATTTCAGTGGATGCTAAATTCTATAGCCCTTAAGCAGTCACTGACAAGCAAACAGTAACCCACCATCCAAAGAAATAATATGAATTTACACAGCATTTTTCACCAATATGGAATATATTTTCTTGTATTTCTTGCTTTTATAATCAAGAATTTTACATTTTAGTTAATGGTCTATAGTTCACATTTAAATATGGAGGTGCTTTGAAAACCAGGTGGTGAAAAAAAAATTGCTTATTTTATTTATTTGTTTCCTACAGACAACAGAAGAGAATGCAAACAAAAGTTTCTGCAACTTATTTTGCACCAGGCTGTAACATTTCTGCTGTGCATTGGCCCACAAATCCTCCCATTTACATTTTTGTTGGTAAACAAATGGAAGGTCACTGAGCTGTGATAGTTTCCAGTTCAAACAAACCAAAACCAAATTTAGGTATGAGATGTATGCGTGGCTTTCATGCTCCATGGTATCAGCAGGAGTTAACCAGGAGAGCCATGGTTTGCCCATACAGAGCCAACATTCCACTCATACCAGTGGACAGTAATGCTACTGAGGTTACAGACATCTCTTCTGATGTTTCAAACTTCAATTAGAGATATGGTTGGCAGACAGCAAAAGCCTAAGCAGTATAAAAGACCCAGAAACTGATATAGGAGCTTAAATTAATAAAGGGTTTCATTCCATTGTATTAACCCCTCCTTTCACAGTGAACTCGTGGAGCTCCCTGTTGCCGCAGTGACAGACTTCAGCAAAACTGAGCACACTCTTTGTGTATAAAGTGCATCTTCAAGTTTAAAATAATGACATCGTATGTAAAAATCAGGAATAGTCATGAGATACAGGCATGGATTTATGTGGGAGAAGTAGGAAGATCGTTTTGGCAGCAAGTTTTATCTATAACCTGACCTCAAGGTGATAAAGATTAAATACATTTGTCAATAGCCACTGATGCAAGCCAAATACAGTATTGCTTAGAGAAAATACACACTTGGAGTGCTGACAGCCAAACCCATCCCCAAGGCAGGCTGCATTCAGGGAGCACACCTGTGTACAGCATTATACCACTTGGCAAAGTTTAGTCCCTTTTCCTCTTCATGTCTGCACTGACTTGGAATCAAATATTCTCCCTGCAGTGAGCATTGTGTACATGTTTTGTGTGTTGTTTTAATTTTAGTACTTGGCTCGTAGTAAGTTAATAGCAGTAGTATTATAAATAAAATGAAAAGGCCACCTTCCATCTCAGACAAAAATGAAACAAAAATACCTCAAACAATGAATATGAGTTGAAATAAATTCTGCAGACCATGAAGGCACTATTTGTATGAAATTACAAGTGACTTGATGATTCAAAAATGTATTCCCCTTACCTTCAAAGAGCAGTTGTATTTAATATGTCAAAATACTAAGTATATCTTCTAAATCTGTTGTCCTTATTCCAGCATGTTGACAGCAAAATTAGGGAAGAAAACAAAAATTAAGACTTCTGGAACTGTCATGATGTGAAAATCCCAGGAAGGACAGGAACAACTTGAAGTCAGTGGATTTCTGAAAAAGATAGAAGCTCTGTCAAAACATAATTATTTAGATTTTAGAGAGAAAGGGAGAAGTATTTCTAGGACAGAGTGAAGAGATTCTTTCAACCAGGAAAGGCAGTATTCAGTGAGAAATGTTTTATTAAATTAAAGGTTTCTTCCATGTTTTCTGTAGGAATTGGAAACTGAGTGCCAGATTCATGTCCCTGCTAATGTTCAATTGTACAAGCAGCAAAATATCAATCAGAACTTCTGCTTTCATGTAGTGCTTAGTGCCTTTAGGCCTCAAAAGAGATGTCAAAGGAGAGCATTTGTCGCTTCACTTTTTGGACAATCTTTGGCCTATACCTGCAGTTCTTGTCTCAGGCAAGACTCCTGGTAGTTCCAGAATGTCAGCTGTGCTCATCCTGAGGGCTGAGATAAGGTAGGTGGGAACAGCTCCTGTCTTTAGGGGATCAGGTCCCTTTTTGCTCACAGGACATGTGTGAAGGTAGAGCGTTTGCCTGGGGCAACAAAAATTTTCTTCCTGCCATATAAATAAAGTACAGCAGCCAAATATTACCTTAATAAATAATAAACTGTGAAATGCTCAGAGACCAAACAAGATTGTAAGTTTATTTTTTTTAATGGGGGAGAAGGAGGGAGGGAGAGATCTAGAAAAGGACTGCAGAAAGCTTTTAAGCCTTAACTTCTAGCAAATCATTGGCAGCAAATGTCTAACAATTTATATGAGGGAATAAAAATATTCATTGTGTGTATATGTGTGTTGGCTTTGAATACCATGGTCACCCTCCAGCTAAGGAGCTGTTTACATCTGCCAGCCAGCAGCCAGACACCAGCAGGGAGCTGGCAGAGCCTTCATGGGCTCATTGTGCCAGCCCAGCCAGGGAGCAGAGCCAAGACTCCTGCTCAGCTCTCCCCAGCAGGCAGGAGCAGCAGCTCTCCTGGAGAGCTAAAAATGACCTCCCTACCTGCTGCCTGAGCCCACAAAGGTGCTGAGCTCAGGTTCAGGTGGATGCTGCTCCCCACCCTGCACAGCCTCCTGTCACTGTCGCTGCATTCTCTGCTAGGGGCTCTTGGACCAAGTCTGATAGACTGCACTCAAAGTTTTCAGTGCCTCAAAGTTTCAGCCTGTGGTTTACTAGCTTTTGGTATATTACTGCAGTCCTTATATGCAAAGTAAAATAAAATTATCAGAAGATTGTCTCTCATTTCTTTAAATCTCCAAGAAAATATCTCTTGAGCCCAAATATACTGTCAAATGATATTTTTACTGACCTGTCTATTTTATTCAGATAAGTCCTCTAAAAGCAAGATATGAAAAAACATTTTTAAACTCACTAGGAAATGAGGTGAAGAGAGGTAAGTTACATTGAGATCTTCACAGATTTGAAAGGGTTTTTTGTATTAGAACCAGGAAAAAAAAATTTAGGTTTCAAGGCTATTAGAAGAAAAACATGAAATTTTAATAAATTTTTAAATTGTGTTTCCAAACACAACAGTTAAGAATCAAGAAAAAATGAATGAGATTGTCTTAAACATCAAAACCTGTGATATATTTGTAGTCCTTTATGTCTATTTTTTTAAGGCATTGAGCATTTTTAATAATAATGATGGCTAGGATACTTCTAATAAAAAACTGGAGGATCTTCTATGTCTAAGGGAAATGTATAATGGTAAAGAGAAGCCTAAAGTTACAAAGCTCTGTAAACTGAATTATTATCTAAAGTTTTGGAATTGTGGTGTAAGTTGAGTACTAGAAATTACTTTGCGATAAGAGATAATTTGGTTATCAAAAATGTTGATGTCAGATTTCAAAGTCTAAAAAGTTTCATTTAAAGGTTTGGGAGTTTGCCTATAAAATAATTTAGTGCAGAACACGCTGCAGAAAGTGTTTAAGCTCAAACATGATTAATGAAAAAGCGTTGTGATTTATTTTTGTGACTAGCCTTAGTGATAAATTAAGTCTTGTGCATTTCAGAGCTCAGCACATGCTTTGTAAGTGTGATGAGTGAGAAATTCTCGAGTGCTTCTCATGGAAGCAGAGAAGTTCATCCTGCTCCTATGGAGTTTCTGATGTTCTGATGGCAGCAGGGAGGAAAATAGAGAAGGTCAAAAGCTCTATGCCCTGAGGCATTTCTGGGGCGTGGAAACTGTGCTAGGAGTAAGCTCCTTCCCAGTTCCACAGGTTTCTGCACATTCACTTCTGAAAGGAAGTCTTCCAGACTGCAGGAAAAATAAGTTTAAAACAGAAAATAAAACTCCTTGATCTATCTGAATCCTTCATTCAGTAAGTGGATGAAAGATAATTTTTAAGTAGGTAGTGAATGACATCAGCAAATGGAAAGATGGGAGCAGATGAGTGATGAGACAATGAGTAAGTGAGGAAGGAATGACTGGTAGGTGTGATTTGAAAGGACATAGCCCAAAGCTATCTTACAGCCTTAACAGGACTCTCTAGGAAAAGAAAAAAAAAGCAGGAGAAGCACCTGAGCAACCTGCACCATCAGCTGTTGTCAAATATTTCACCGGGTTTTTTTTCCTTTTCTTCTTGGTTTTTTTGAGTTTTTATTTGTTTTGTTTTGTTTTAACCTCAGCATCTTTGATGCAATGATTGTACCAATTAGGCTTCTGAAATATACTGTCAGCCCCAATTCCAGTCCAACTAGGGCTTATCCAGTTGCTTGTCTGGGAACCCACAATCTCCAAATGGAACTTCTAGATACGCACATAGATACCCCCAGCTCCAATAAACTCACAACACGATTTATTAAAAGGCTCAGGCTTGTGCTCACCAGTTTAGCTGGGGGAGCTGGGGCAGCACTCACAGCTATCCCACCCATCTCCCAGCAGTGCCCGAGCAGGACAGATATCTGAATTACTTCTCTTTACAATTTGTCCTACAGCCATAAACAGAAACTGGTTGACATCAGTGGGGGTTTGTGAATGCCAATCTTACAGCTATATATCATGCTGGAAATTACAGCAGTAGAGGACTGGATGTCAATCCCATTTAAACTTCTTTGTTACTGTGGTTGAACTTTGAGCAGTGTGCAGCTGGGACAATGGACGCTTCCCAGCTTCATCTATTTCTAAATGGAAGTCAAAGCCAAGATTCAAGCAGTCTTCAGCAGAAGTCAATATACTGAAATCTTAATAAGTTTCAGGCTGTTTTGTGGCTGAGAGACTCTTGCATATTACCACAGATGCTAACAACCACTTAAAATGATTTGAAGTCAGTTTTTAAATATCCTCTGAAACATAATTCTGTGGGACTGGTAGTCTAAAGAATCCATGTTTACCAAACATTCCCATAGGAAATCTGACTTTCATTTCTAGCATCATTTACCTGTAGTATTACTTGGGAGTGTAAACCAGTGCATCAGAACAATATTCAAAAACAGTGTCACACACTGAAAATCTCCAATTCTTTCAGTGTTTTCCAAAGTACTGAAAACTATGATTTTTATATTAGCCTTTTTTTCCTTCTATGCTGTTGACAACCTTAAGCAGAGCGTAACCTCCTTCATAGCTGTAGCTTACACAAAAATATCTAAAGTACCCAAACAATCCAGAAATTCCACTTTCAAAGGTAACACCTATCGCTTTTGCATCTAGGTCTACTTTGAGGAGATTTAAGATTTCAGGCCTTCAGAGAATAAGATTTCTGTTTGAATGTGGGCAATGATGCATAATGAATTTAAAAACAGAAGGAGAATAACATTTAGTTAAAAGCACTTTTGGATAAGACTACTTGTTTCCTGATGCCCATGACAAGCTCTGTAGTTTGGCATTCTGTTGCTGCTTGGAAGATTTCCCTAGGTAAAGTAGAACCTGGTGAATGATTACACAGGGTTACAGAAAATCACTACCCACAGAATGTTGCTTCAAGAGCTTAAGCAAGAAAGAAGTCACAAAGTTTTTCTTTCATTCCCATATTTTGGTAGAAGAGAAGGGAGCTACATTGGAGGGAGAGAAAGAGCCTTTGTCACAACAAAGGGAGAAGAAAGGAGGATACTTACTCAGCTACTCTTGAGGGGAAAAAAGGGTTAACTGTAACATTGGATTAAGCAGCAAGTTATGACATATATGAGTATTGTATGTCACAACATAACAGAGGAAAAGAGATTTTAAAATCATGACAATACATGAATTAATAGAATCTGTTGTGCTATTCAGGACAAAAGTTAACATGAGATGCTTGCTAATTCTGAAAATAAAGATTTAAATAGAATCTGACCCAAAAGCCTCCCAAACACCACACTGTAAACTGCTAGTATTACATGTTTTAGACTACCACAAAGCTTTATAAGGGGCAATAATACTGCACAGAGGTAAAATGAGGATGAAATCACAGCTGCTAAAGCTCTATTGCTTGTTCAGTGGTCTTCAGTAAGAGTGACTGCAGACCTCTCTGCAGAAGAGAGAAAAACAGGGGAGTTATTTTCTTCACAATGGTCAACAATGAAATTAAAATTCTTAAATATTGAACTTTTTTTTTTAGTTTTATGACCTTGTTACCTCACCAATAAAAAAAAAAGTGTAAAGCATATTTCCTCTCTAGAAACAGCACTGTTACTCAGGTAAGGTGTTTTTTGTAAGAAACCAGTCTGGCAGTCATCCTATTACAAAGCATCCTAGTGAAAGCAAATAGAAACCTACATCTCACCAGGAAAAAAAAAAAAACCCTTCTGCTTATGCTCTTGTGCTTACCTCCACAAGTAAGAAAACGAGTACGAAATAAGTCTCCTTGTGACGCACAGTTCAATATGGCTAAAGAGTTACAATGTGCTGCTTGAGTCATCACTGACAGGGTGCCAGCCTTACATTTGTTAGAGCAAACAGAGCTCAGCTTTAAATTTCCGTGCTGTTACACAACTGTGCTATTACTTAAAGGACTGCTTGTACTCAAACAATAAAGGCCATCTATTTTCCTGTTACTCTACTGATATAATTATCCCTAGCACAGGCACATTTTCATACACACACATATGTATTTAAATACACACATACATTGCAGGATTTTAATTGCTCTGAGGGTATGCACACTACTTGGCCTTCAAGGATCATTCCTGGTTTTTACAGAAGACTTGAGGCTGCTGCAACTAGTGAGGGAAGAGGTAGCCATGTAGTCCAGCTAGTGATGTGATTCAACTCCCTACCAATCTCAGTAGTCAGCAGGATGCACACACTGAAATGTCAGAAAGCAACAGCCATATTTGCTGCTGCTGTTTTCTGAAAGAATAGTGCCATTTTAACTTGTCTCTCACTTCCACTAACCACTCATTAGCACAGTCATTGCACTTACCAGGTCTCTATTGGCTTTGTGGGAGATGCCCACTGATAGCATTGTGTACAGAAAAAATACCTGCAGTAACACTGTTTGGAGAACTTTTAGCAAACACATTACTACTGAGAGTTTGGTTCCAGGTTTCATTAGACTTACAGTCTAGAAATGACAGATCCTAGGGTCTGTGTCCAGGAAATCCCAGGAAATGGTTGTGCCTAGGTATCAGCAATGCAGTCAGAAGGGAGGCCAAATGGACAGAACCTCCTGAAATCCAGGGAAGCCTGGCCATGGGGCAGCTGCCAGCCTTTAGGTACAGCTTACTTCCTTTCAGAGCCTGAATCAAGATAGCAATGCTATTCTAGTTTAGTTTATCAGAGCAAATCATATGACTAATGATTAATCATTCAAGTATTTATCACTTCAGTATAATTTCTGCATACTATTATTGGGGTTGCACCTTCACTAGTGTGGCTCAGGCACGATTGGATCTGGCACTTGGGGAGCATCTTTCAGCAAAGAGCTTAAAGAGCTTGAGATCTTGAATACTGACAACAGGTGAGGCTGCTGTTGGCTTGGAAGCAAGCAGAGGAACAAGGCACAACAGCTGTGAGTGAAAGCAGAAGCAACACAATTTGATATCATCTCCAGACTGCCCCTTGAGGTCATCCCTGCAGACCCAGGGCTCTTCATCCCCCATGAAGAAGAAGGGAAGTAGGCTGGTGGAAGGGACTGTGGGCAAAGAGCCTGAACTAGACTGCCCTGAGGCATGTGCTGCTCTGGCAGTGATGTGATACTGCTTGTACAGCCCTGCAAAAGTACTCCTCGGGTGGCTGTGCTCCAGCTTTCCACTTTTCCATGTATTCCCCCATGCATGCAGCACAAACACTTGTGACATCCTCTTTCCTCAAGGAATCCAAGGAAGCTTGTGCCTCACTTACTCCAACAGGATTGACGTGAAGGGATAAAGCAAATTCAAAAGTAGTCAAATTACAGTAGGTCTTGAGCATCCCAAGCTCATATTTGCTCTTTATCTTTTCAATCCAAATGCTGGTAGGCAGAATTTCTGAGATGATTGTGTCATAGAACTTTTCCCCTGCTTCAGCTTTTGATGGAGTTAAACTTTCACCTGATTTTTGTTATGACATACCTGCTTGGGGACAGTTAATGCTGGGAAAATCCTGCTATCATACCAGTATTTCTGGATTTCTCTACAGCCTTTCCATCGGCACAGTTGACTCTCCCATTTCATTTTTGTGTGTTTGTCCAGGCAAGTGAGCTGCAATCATTCCTCTACTCCAGCTCCTTCTCTAGCCTTTCCCACTAGTTTCTTGTGGTTCAGGCTAAGAAGACTTTTGTCCTACCAAATGTATGCGAGGTCTATCCTTTCTCAGCTCCCTAAGCCAAATTGTGATTCTGTCAGATTATTTCAGGGGGTTTTCTTCTGAAGTTGTTGCTACTGGTCTGCAGGAACACACAATCTACCCCACTGTGAAGGGGGTAGCAGGGGCTACCACAGAAGTGGAAGAAACAAGTATGTAATACAGACAGAAGAATCACTCTTTGGCCTATTGTTGAAGGCATGAGAGAGTATTTGTGGATTCCAGTCCCTTCCTAGCTTTGGTTTAGTGTTTTAAATAGAATAACCATGGGTTGACATACAGAAATTCTGGAAACAGAAACAAAGCACTCCATGCTTTCCAGTCAAGGCAGTACCTGAATGGCAATCTAAAATTGCAGGCTTGGTCATGCACATTTGGAATTTTGGAGGTTCTGGTCCCTAAATCCTGTCTCACATCTTAGCCCATCTTGTAATAATGCCTCCTTGTGACCCCTGTCATAGAGCAGGAAGTTTCTGCCATGTTTACTGTTGACCACTTTTGTGAAAATGTAACAATGAATAGCACAGCAAATATGTTATAAAGTAAGACCCACTTATTGTTGTAAGAAACAGGTTAGCTGGCCACCAAATAAACAGTAGTAATTAACACCCCTGTCTTCCAGTCCTACCATCTGTCTGGGAAATCCCTTGCTCCTAGATGCAATCTCAGTCCTTTTGTCTACTATTACTGATGTCTCATCCTCATTGGAGGAATTTAACTTCAAATTCTACCTCATTCTCTTCAGAACTGAGTCTTCTCTACTGGATAATCTAATGTCTCATCACTTTGGGTCACATTCAGACAGCTGTTACAAAGTTCATGCTCTCAAAGTGCCATGTGGCCAGAGGGTTGTCTTTTCCCTTCAAGAACTCCCTAAATAAAGACAGAGCAGGACCAAAATCTTCTGCTATGATTTAAAGATCAGAAATTGCCAGCCCTGTGTTTGTACACAGATAATGTTTTGCCTGGACAAGCCAACCTGATGCACATAGAGGGCAGTGCCATGGTTATTCTTCTACCTCAGGCTACACCTGGCATTCATTAACTGGAAAGGAGCCAACTATTTAGTTACTCAGTGGTCATTGTGTCTCCACAGGGGCTCCCATAGAGCAGCAGCACAGCCCTGCCTTCCCTGTCATCCTCCCAGCATGAGCTATGCAGTGCCCAGGACATCCTCACAGGGCCACACAGAATTCACAGAATCACAAGGTTGGAAGAGACCTTTAAGATCATTGAGTCCAGCCCATGCCCTAACACCTCAACTAAACCATGACACTGAGTGCCACATCCAATCTTTTTTTAAACACATCCAGGGATGGTGACTCCACCACCTCCCCAGGCAGACCATTCCAGTACTTTAACACTCTTTCAGTGAAAAACTTTTCCCTAATATCCAACCTATATTTTCCTTGGTGCAGCTTGAGACTGTCCTCTCATTCTGTTATTTGCTGCCTGGTGAAGGAGACCAACCTCCATCTGACTGCAACCACGTGCACATATCAGGCACATGACCCTGCCCCTGGACCACAGCCACACATCAATTGACCCAGTTCATGGCATCTCACAGCCATGGAAGTGACTGCACAGCATTCCTGGGCACTCTGCTTAAGCTTGTGGGCTGCATATGTGTCACAAGATATGGCATGTACAGTTTCTGCTGTTCAGGGTATGTGTACATATTAAATAAAGCCCTCTGTAAGTGTGTGTGCTTCTCTGGGGATAAATCCTGCAGAACCAGGATTTAGTCCTAGAGCAAAAAGAAGAGAAGCACTGCCCTGTGGGCATTTTTAAAAATATGGCTCTTAATAAAGTGATGATAGTCCTATTTTTAATTTTGCTTCTGTGTCTTCTCAGTAACGATTTTTCATAATGATTTATTAGCCCTGGCTTTTTTCTGTGGTCTTCCTGCTAACACTTTAGGAACGATAAAAGCCTTGGTTCTAAAATATAGTGCTTTATAGATGTCTTCTGAAGAGAAATATCAAAAAGTGTCATGGGTTAGCCAGATTTTTTGGCTGTCTCATTTCTGCTTGGCTCAAGGCTTACTTATTAGATGTTTCCACGTTCATATCCCTGGCAATGAGAGAGCTATATATTCAAAAATTTGGCACATGCACAAAGATGTGCACCAACATTCACAAAACACTTCCTAAGGTTGTAGCTGCTTGAATTTCAGCTCCTTAATTAGACAGATGCCTTTGAGAAGACATTTTCAGGGTTCTTTTCACAGTTGACTGTTCTATCTTAAAGGCTTCTCTGAATATTAGATTTCCAGTGGGGCTGGACCTGATATATCCATGTATTTCTAGACTGGTTCTCAATTAAAATATTTGGCCTGGTTAAAGAAGAAGACTGATTTATAATCAACAGTCATTTTTGATGCAAAAGTCAGGTATGAAGCAAAGCCAGCACAAGCCAGAGCATGTTGGCCTTACATATGAGTAGTCAGCCTGACACTATCAAAACCCATGTTCCTAGTGCGTGTGTGGGGATGATCATCAAGCCTGCCTTGTCTCAGAGGCACTGTCCTCGGGGTGCTTGTTCTGCATGGTAGGAGTGCAGAATTTCTTGGAGACAAATGCAGAAGCTTTCCCCCATCCTGACAACCTTATAAGGTTTTGTCTAGACAAGAGAACATTTTTGGCATAATTATCCTCCTGCATTTTAATTTTGCATGCAAATAATTAGAGCTGTGTTATAACTTCAAGCCGGCCATGCTACTTGTAGAGACCTGAACCAAATTCTGAGAGGCCTTTGGGAAAAGAAGCTAGAATACTGAGAAGTTAACAGTGTCTTATAAGGAAAAAAACATAAAAGCTAACATAGTTTTAAACACAACACTAATTAATAAATATACTGAAAGGTGGTGAAGGAAAATGACCCTCTTTTGCAACTGTGCCTTTGGACTGATTGACAGCAACTGGATGTACACACACACTTACTCATCTTTGATTTGGAAATTATTCATTACCACCTTTAACAGCAGAAAGTTTTCTACACTTACATTAAGCAGTGGAAAGTTCCAACAAAATAGAACATGGGTTTTTATTGCCAGTCTGCCTTTCATTTCCCTTTGTACACTATATGTGGTACAGTTGTG